GAAACTAAGTTCGAGGTTTTATAATTGTAGTTGCTTTAGTAGCTCTTTATTAACTTATAGCATGTTTAGTAAAAATTAAAGCCGATTTTGAGATACATTTTTTAAGAGATATTCTATGCGCCTAAAACCGAAGAGTAATTGCAGCAATTTTTTAGTCTCCAAATTATGATTTTTATTCCAACTATCAAAATGTTATAACTAAAGCTGATATTAGTTGTATATTTATTTTAGTTATACTATTAAATATTACACATGTAATTAAAAGTATTATTAATTATAACAATAATATTAAGTCAAACAAATACAGAACAAGTATTCGGTATAACTTATGTAAAGTAGAGTTCTACTTTGCATGCTTCTTTGTTAAAACATCTTTGTTAAAGACAAATAACAAAATAAAAATAATCGTTTCAAAAAAACCACTTGATATCTGAGAAAATGTATTAACAGTGAAAAAAAAAACTTCCAATCGCACCTATGACTCATAGGCTATGAAGCAGGTGTTATTGAAATTTGGGTCAGAGGCCCAACAAAAAATAATGTTATAGGTATTCAATAATAATGTAAATAAATTTTAGCTATACAAATTATGGAAAAATATTGTCGTTAGTTTTAAAAAATAATAACGTTAACTTTTGTACAATTAAGACATTTTAACCAAAACAGTTGAATTCATAAAATATTAATGATTTGAAATAAAATAGTTTATAAGTTAAAATACAAAAATAACCACTAAACGAAATACGTTAAGATTAATAACATGGTTTTGAAAAAAAAAACAATAATTTATCTGAATAAAAAAAAAAAACAATAAAAACTGTTTTTGAAAATTATGCAGAAAAAGTGTGAAAAAGAACCTGTGTTTGATAAAAAAAAACCAACAGTAAAACGTTGATAAAATTGTTTGATATTTAAGATCATTTTGATAATGTTAAAACTTAATAGGTTAATTATGATACTAATAGGTATTCGCCATTAGTTTACAATTAACTTGATAAATGGTTTTACAAAAAATCCTTGCTAACTAATGCTACAAAGAAATGTAGTACATATATTTATATAACTGTAAAAAACAGGTATTCGTTACAATTATTATAGCAATAGGGTTCTATAGCACATTTAAATATTCAAAACCACAAGCAGCAATACAAAATTTTCTTTTAAAAGACAGCTTGTATTTTCATTAGTTAACACAACAACAATCATATTAGAAAACAAATTCCATTCATTAAAAATGTCACTAAAATATACATATTTTTTTAAGGTTTGCCAATCTTACAATTTTAAAACATAGAAACTTAATAAACAATCCTTGTAAGCAATAAAATGTGTTTTTGATTTTGTAATATAAATGTAAAGGATGCTTTAACATACAATACAAATAAAGTATTTGTATTTAATACATATTAAAAATAACGGACCCAACTAATAAATTTTTTTTAGAAATTATGAAATGATAAAAATTAATTAAGGGCATTACGTGGTGCAGTGGAGACTTAAGCTGTCAGGCGGCTCAGGTGAATAGCTGTATCCGTTAGACAAGCGTTATTTTAAAATTGATTTTATCACTTAAACAATAATATTGCTTGAATATCCATAACCACCCGGCACCCATAACCCAATATGCTCCTATCCTAATGCGCCGCATTAGATAAATTATTAAATATTGTATTTTATGTTGTAGTTCACATCAAGTGTTTGACGATCAATTAGAAAACTAGTGATTTTTTGGTACAGAAAATAGTAAAAAAAAATTGCTTAACTTTTTAAAGCATGTTATAAATGTTAATTATGTTTTGCATAAAGCATGTAAGAGTGTTTCATTACAGGAGTATCACAACAGTATTATGTTACATAATAACAGCTATACAAATTTTTTAAATACGTAAACCTAATTTGAGTTTAATAGGTTATGCCAATTTTTTTTAAAACTTTTTTAGAGCCAAAATTATGTAAACCGTGATCTTAAGTCATTAAAAATTATAAGTATACGATTCTTAAAAGTGTTGTGATTTTTTTACAATGCAACATTCGTTGTAAAAAGTTTTTCAGCCGAGTCTGCAACCACGAAAGAGCATTTTCATGTCTCGTTGAAATACCGAATAAATTTAAATTAGTTGAGGAATTATAATTAAAAAAAAAAAAAATTACATGGAGCTTCCAGTTGCAGCATAAGGCCAAAGAGATAAAAAAATTATGTACAATCAAGTTTCTGGCTAAAATTGTAGTGTTTATTATCTGGCCAAAAGTAACTTAACATAGAGAATTAAATTATTTTGAATTTATTATTTAGTTCTAATTTGAACGTTGAACGTACAACATATTTCTTATCTCCCACCCCCTATCTCCTACCTCTTACCTCCCACACCCTATCTCTTACCCCTGTAACGGTTTTGTAACGAACGCTTTTTTCGTTACGCTTTTTTGATAACGCTTTTTTCGTTACGCTTTTTTCGGGTATGTGCAGAGCTAAGACATGGAAATGTCAAAACGACATGTTAACTTTGCTAACAACATATTTTCATGTTGAAAAATAACCGTGCAATTTAAAACCATACAAATTGTTGGAAAATATTATAAAGTAGGTCAAACATTTTAACACAAAAACAACTGCAAAACAAAATATGTTAAGAAAAACAACTGGTTTTCGATAAAAAATAAAGTAATAAAACTATACAAATTGTTTTTATAGAATACGAAGATTCTTATAATACTCAAAGTTTGTGATACCTATAAGAACTTATCATTTGTTTACATTACAATAGTCGCTGTGAAAAACAGCTTGGTTTTGATAAAAACAAATAATACAATATTGGATTACAATTTACATGGTTTTACAAAAATTCCTTGTAATAAGTTATAATTATAAAAGATTTTCGAAAACGCAATACATTAACTGTATGTAAATTTAAAAAAAATAATACTTACCACAGTTATTATAACAATAACGTTCTACAATGCATCAAAAATTGTCAATTCTTATTATGTTATTATATTCCGTTCTGTAGTCACTAATCGCAGTAATGTAGTCCATAAAATCTATAGCAACAAATCTAAAATATAACACCACCCAGTTGTATTTTAAAATCGAATATTATATTTTGTCCATTAGTGGATATAACTATATAAGTAATGGGAATTGTTCGAATATCAATAATTATTAATTACAAAAGACAGTACAGTGGGGTCGGAGAATTGTGGGGACGGGGAGGTTACAGGTTAGTGACTTATCTGAGCAACTGTTCCGTCTCCACACTAAGTCAAACCCATCTTTAGTACCCACAAACGTTGGTCTTTGCTTCAACAAATACATCAACATTTTTGGTCGCGTTGGCAAAAGAAGTATTTGCACCAACTGCAGACGAAATTTAGTTAGAAATCAAGAGACTTTGATTTTGATAGCAAAAATCAAAATGTATGTGTTGGCGTTAGTATAAAAAATAAAGACCGCTTTACATATATTTAAATCATAAAATTGAATAAAATATAAAATTAATTAAAATATGTATAAGATAATATTTTTTGGAAGATTCTTTTTGAAAATAGTACGTTAAAAAAAAAAAATGATGTAATCAGTACGTTTAGACTATTTTTTTTCCTTTCCATAGCGAAATCCGTAGCAAATGTATGTTAATGTTGTAAATAGAAATATTTATGAGTTGATTGTATATCTATGATCACTTGAAACTGGACTGTCATATAATTTTTGAATAATCAGCGAAGAGAAAGACTACCAGAAGAGGGGGTAGAGTCAAGAGTGGCAAGAGGTTGGACGCCTAATCAGCTAGGGCAGTAAACAATCTCACCCCATAATAAGGTTAGGTCAATTTAGATGAGGTTAACCCTGCCGGCAGCTCACTCAGGTGAGCTACTAGATTTGCGTATTATCCAATGAAAAATAGAGAGGTTATGGATGAAATATTAAATACTTTTGGTGTTCGTGTCACCAGCAATGATATATTGGGTCATTGTCGTACATTGTTGAATGGTTTCTGTCTAAAATCATGATGACACAGTGTATGTAGTTTATTACTTACTAGCATACCATTTTAGTCTTTTGTAACTGAGAAACTTGAGATCTAAACTAGAGTTGCTACTGGTTGTATTCAAATAAGCACTTATTTTTCCGAATATTTCCTTAGGCTTGGTATACATTTGGCAACAGCCCCTTAACAGTTTGTATTTTGTTTTAAATATTTATGAGGGATCCCTTAGTGCTTTGGTCTAGGAGCCGCTCTTCTCTAATTATCTCTAAACTTTGCATTGTGTCTAGTTGTCGGTGTACCCATCTATCGAGCAATGCGAACATAAATATGAGTTTTATGGGATACCAATTTTATGAGATTTAAAAAACGCCGAACACATATGACATATATAAGAGGAAAAGTAACCATTTCGGTTGTATTTCAAATAAATCCAAATAACGATTTTTTATTTTCAAACCATATTTATTATATTTTATTAGTACATTACATTTTATAATTTCACAAACGATTTAAAAATAAATATTTTGTAATACTTTTGGAAAAAAAAATAATGCCCAACACATAACGTATTGAATCATTTTATGGATTGTAGAAAATCTTGTACTAACATTTTCCTTTCAAAGCTAATCCATATCACCATATCCACAAATATGGCATCATTTACTTGATCTAAAACCATTAATGAACAATATTATAGACGTTAGGTGTTTTAATCTATGCTAGGATCATGACCTAAGTGGGTGTTTGGCAATAAAGTTAATCTCTATGCTAATAAAGAAAAATAAAAACTAAAGTGAGATTTATAATATAATAAATTTCAGGAATATTTACATACTTCGGACTACAATGGTAATTGGTTTTATGAAAAATATTTATAACGTTTTTTGAAAAAAAGTAATATTTAAAAGTTTCCTTTATTGTAATTGCGAATTAGAAATACTCCTTAAAACCATTGACTCGCAGTTTCGCATCAAATCTAGAGAAAGCTTTTATTATATGATAAATGCAATATATTTAATGGTTACTTAAGTCATCTGGAGTATATTTTTTTGCTTCCATATATCTCGCCACATCACTGTCACATTTTAACATTAACGATAATTCCTTTGTAGTAAGTGGACCTTTGTGACTGTGGAAACGTTTTATAGTCTGAAAAGTATTGAAATGCATTAAAAAATATAGTTTAATATAATATAACATTTTTACAAGTATGTAAATTTAGGTCCTATAATGGTTGACATGATTTTAGAAAATAAATAGAAACTATTGGCCAGAAATATTCCGAGATAATAAATATATTCTGTTTCATCTTACATAATGTACCATGTAACAATCATATGTATAAAAAATATACAGAATCTTACAGAAAGTTATACTTATTATTTTTCATGTATATAATTATGTCGAAATAGTATTTATTTCAAAACGTTAGCCAGTTAATTAAATATTTGTACAGTTAAAAAACCCGTTTTTAAATAATTACTAGCTAAATCTTAATTATGTTTTAAAATGTTTCTATAGTATTGATATAAAAATTAAAAATCATTCGAATGAATTTCAAACATTATAATTTCAATACAACATTTTTTGACATAATAACTAGCGTTCACAATTTACGTTTTATAAAAACAACAACTTTATTCTAAAAAACAAATTACAATAGAACAAGTTGCCTTTTACGTTGGTTTGCCTGCAATCACACAACATACTAGCCAGTTTTATGAGAAAAGTAAATAGAAAATTAACCCAAGTAAATTAATTAAATGTAATAATCATTGTTTAATTGATTAAAAAAAAAAAATACTTAAGTCACAAAGATAAATTTACTCAAAGGTCTTCTGAAAAAAATGGTTTACATTATACTATTTATTATTAAGAATGCATTACAAGAGCAAATTGTCTATTTCACAGTTTGCCTACATGCAGAATTTTTTTAAACCTTATTCGAATAATATTTCTAAAATTATGCTTACATCTGGATTATTTAAAAACTCTCTTATTGTTGTGTTCATCTTGCCGCAAATGAAAAATACGATTTTTCCGAATAGAACTTCATGATATGACTCATCGTCTGGAGAGTCTTTAACTAAATAGGTATACAATTGATGTTTAGTCATTAAAATGTATGTTAGGTATATTTTTATAATATATACATTATACAGTAGTTGCACAGTATTCAGGAAAGTTATTAAAGAACCAAAGTTACACTACCCTCCAAACATCGGCCTTAAACATTAGAGTGAAAGTTACTTTATTGACTATCTACATAACACATTTTTTCTCTTTTACACTTGGCCAGAGTAACTTTTAATACTTAAATTGTAATTAAAAAATAAAGCTCACTTATTTGAAAAATAGTAAATAAACATATTTTTTGACAGATAATGAGCTATGAAAATATGTTGTTTGAGTAATTATTATTTAATGTCAGCGTGTCACTATACCAGGGAAAAAACTAAATTGTTTAATATTGTTTTAAATGATTAGTATATGATTTAGTTTAAATATTATAACATCAACAAATTCTGATTGAAATTGGCAATATTTTGACTTTCTGATAAGACTATGTTAAAAACAATTTTTATGTCGGAAAAAAGGCATAAATTAAATTAAAATGTTTACCGTTGGCTTTTTTATTACAAGTTCAAATCCAGTTAAGCTAATAATAGTTGTGTAAAATAAAATGAATCTTTTTATGTTTTCCGGACTACAGTGATAACATTTGGTTTTAGAATAATATTTATCATGTTTTAGAAAAAAAAAAGTTAAATGTATAAGTTTCATTTTTTTTTTTGCGATTAAAAATACTTCCTAAAACCCCCTGCCTCTCAGCTTTGCATAAATTCTAGAGAAATCTTTTATTATATGATACATGTAGTAAATCAAATGGTTACTTAAGTCGTTTCTCGTCTTATGATTGTTTACGAGATATTCATCGACATAATTTTGATATTTGTCGCCCAAATAATTCAATATTTGACCCGCAGTAAGAGCATTGAACTGGCTGGAATGTTGGTAACTAAGGTTTACAAAAGTGTTTCTTGCATAATCGTCTAAACGCTGAAAAGCGTTGAAGAAACACATTATTAAAAATTATAGCTGGGTATAACCCAACGCCTTAAAAGGTGAGTAAATTTAAACGCTATGATTGTTATAAATAAAATGTACATTTTTCGAATAACTTTTAATGTTTATATTTATTTTTTATCTAGATGATTATTTAGAGAACATTTTATTTGAATTATGCAAAACTGCATGCAATATCAAAACATACAACGCAATTCTAGATAAAATTAAAATAATCTACATACAAAGGGAACTTAATACAAAAAAATATAATAATCATATTTTTTATTTAATAAAAAAAAAAAATACAATTTGCAAGCTGATAACCGTATATTCAGTTTGCATGATACTTACCGCTTCTTCAACTGTGCGCCTGTACGCAACAGTTTGACCAAATAAATGTATAGTAAAACATAAAACCAAAATGTATTTTATATTCATATTCTGTTTTTTTATACTTCGTAAGTATTTAAAGTACGTGTTTAAATTTCAGTTAAAAAAGCTAGAAGTGATTTTCTTATCGATTGGTAAGTTATATTTATAGTGCATTCTTGAAGAATAACATGCTAATAATGTGAATAATATTTTATCAAACAACAGTATGTTTTTAAAAGTTTTAGTTAAAGTTTGATGTAGAACGGTTTTGCTATTTTGTAAACAACACTTTGGCGTTAAGTAAAGCAAAACATATTTTTATGCCGAAGAATTGTTTGATGTAAACAAATACGAAACAAATCATTTAGCAAGTATACATTTCAATAGTAATATAATATAGATATTATCTAAAAAATCATGCTTTACTTGTAACGCTGTTGTGGTTTATAATAATACAAAAGTTGACAATATTTACAATAACCTACGTGTGTACATTACAACCTTTGGTGTTTTTGTACCTACACGAGCTATGGATGTAAGCTACGAGAAAAATTATGTTTTGAAAATGTTTATTACAATTTAATTTATTTAAAAAAAAATACCATATCGTGTTGGATTTGGCAGCGAAATTCCTTTTTATATATTTTATCTTATTTTACATTGATATAATATGCTGCTTCGAAATTATAAATAAGTAGTATATCGTGGGTACAAATACGAAACAAACAAAGTACATCAGCGTAAATCTAATACCTAACTTTTTGCTCCTTATCAAATCTGAAAACAGAATACGTTTTTATGATTCAAACCATAATATTGACAAAACATACCAGATGAATAACTTTTTTAAGTTTGGTTGAAAACTAACCACATATTTTCTATACTTGATATTTTCTATTGAAAATATAGTACATCTCTCACTTTTATAAAACCGTAATAAAATATTTTCTAAGTAACAGTAACACGATAATTGAATGATTATTTTTTTATATCATAACATAGATCGTGGAAATGATTAAGCTTGATTAATAGTATAAAATAATTTTTAAACAAGTAATAAAAATACAAATTAAATTTTTTATTTATTTTGCACAAAAATAGTACGAAAACGTACTATTGAAAATGATTATAAGTAAAGCCTCTAAACATCACACTAATGTGCTAACATTCGCCCAATAGCCTTTGATGCTCCGGGTATATATATACAGGGTATTAATTTTATCATGAAAAACTCAATATCTCATAGGGTTTAATAAGAAATTAACTTTTATTTTTTCTTAATCTTTTTATACACATTGAGATTTCAATCAGAATGACACTATTAAGTTTTCATACTCAAGTAGGTGTCATTTTTGGTTTTTAATTTAATTTTTTTTGTCTGCTTTGGCATACATCCAAAAAAATCGAAAGCGTTACTAAAAAACCTAATGGAAATGTACCTTATAACGTGTTAAAAATAATTAATGTTCAGTAATTAATATTTAAAATACTGGAAAAAAATTTGATGCAATTTTTAATAACTCAGCCCAACTAGAAATGTATTGTGCCGGTATATAAACTATAGTTTTTGTTGGACCAACTTTGTATGTTTTGGGAAAGTTGCTTACCATCCTAATTTATAGGTAGCACACAGTCCACCTTGTGTCCAATTTACTTTACTATTTGAACGGGTTGTTTTTAATAAGAAACATATTCATCAATGATTTTCTGACTTAAAGCTCGGTATAATAATAAATTTAACATTTTGATTTATTGTGCTAAAAAAATATCAGGAATATTTGACAATAATTTCTTGAAACGCTAACCAAAATCATTTATTGCTAACGAATGTTTTATCCGGCACACGTGTTTTTTTGAAACATGCACGTTCTGTTATTTTAAAAAAACATTGCCATTTGCGTCATGCTTTAATAACACTATTTCTATATAGTCTGAAAAACATTTTTTAAATAATGTATATTATATTTATTTCAATATTTTTTTGGTACAAAAAATTTCCAAATTAAGTAATTGTAAATGCTTTTAAAACGAAAAACTAAAAATTAGAATTATTTTAAGAAAGAATAGTTTCTTATCTTAAATGATATATCTGTATATAACATAAAACATATATTTTATATACCTATACTATTCATTCGAATACTACCCTCCTACACAGAAAAAATACATAGTTGTTTCAACTTACACTATGAATAATATAAGGACACATTACATTTCTAGGTGGAATAACCATATAAATAATATGCCCAACTAAATTGTTGTTAGTTCAGTTTATATACCTATCCAATTTAATGAAACTATTTTAATATTTATTTTGATTTTGTTGAATTGATTTATGATAAATATCCAAACGCAGATTTTTTGTTATTATGTGATTTTCTTATACCATCAGCTTTTTTTCAAATATTAATTCATATTTTTGAGATAAGTTTTCATATTTTAATTTATCTCATTATAATTATGTTCCTAATAATGTTGTTCTTGATTATGTTCTATCCAACTCTCTTTCTGTTAATGTTATAAAAACTTGTTAAATGATGTATATTATATTTATTTGAATATTTTACTTAAGTTTACTTTGGCTAAGAACAATTGAAAACAGATATTAAATTCGCGATCACCGACGCCGTAAACATATACCTAATTTGATGACCACTTTTGAAGTCGTTTACTGCAATTTACACGATAAATTATTATACAAAAACTTTTTGTAATAAGTTATAATTATCAAAAATTTTTTATTCAGGAAAACGCAATACATTAATTGTATGTAAATTTAAAAAAAATAGGTACTCGCCACAGTTATTATAACAATAACGTTCTACAATGCATTCAAACACAAGCATCAATACAAAATTTGTTACAAAAAAAAAGCTAGTATTTTCATTTAATAAAATCACTTTCGAAAAAACGCTTCGGTGCAAATCGGTAGTTAGTATTTTCAAGCCAGTTAAGTCCAAACCAAGCACAGTGTAAACCAGCAAAGTTAAAAGGAAGTATTAAATAGAGATGCTGTATTTACAAATAAGCATCAAAGCGTTATTTTGAAAGTAATTTTATCTGAGAGGACTACAGTAGAGTGGAGTATAGGCATAATGAAATCAAAGCATAGGGGAGACGGGGAGGTCACAGATCTACAGGATTTACTATATATAAAAGTGATAAAATCACTCACTAAAATATGTATTGTTATTATTTTATTATTGATCAAAAACATTGACATTACATTAATTTAAAAATAGTTATAATATAGTGTGATCGACTTATCGTGAACAACTTAATATCTTATATCTCACTCGGTTTAATTAACAATTGAATTTTTTGTCCCATAAAGTTTTTATACAATGTAATCTCAATTTCTTCCAATTTTTTTTTGTTTATTCTACCCATCCAAACTAGTTTTTTTGATAGCATATTTTGAAATTTAAATGGTAATGCATAAAATTCGATATCTTTTTTAATTGAGAATAATGTACTAAAAATGTTGACTGGTTGATAACCAGTTTGAATAACTATTTTTCAAGTCATACGAGTTTAAAAGTTAGGATGGGAGGAAAAGAGCGAGTGGGAAATGCACGCAGATAAAAATAATACTACACACCACCCCATTCCTCTTGCCCTGAACTTGAGACTTTAATAACTTTTTTAGTCAACATTTTTAGTACATGATTCTCAATTTAAAAAGTTAAGAAAATGTGTACGGTAAATTATTACAGCACCCAGTCATATTATAAAATTATTACAATTTAGGTTTTGTACATTATTGAATATCGATAAAAGTAGGAATTAAAATTTTATTATAAATGTATATTATTATACAACTATTCGAATATTCATATCTTTAAAAATAAAATATTTATATAATTACTGAAACATGATGCTAACGTGCGAGAAATAAAATAGGTCAAACTTATAAATACAAAAACAACTGCTAAACAAAATATGTTAAGAAAAACAACTGGTTTTCGATAAAAAAAAAAAATAATACCATACAAATTGTTTTTATAGAATACGAAGATTCTTATAATAATCAAAGTTGGTGATACCTATAGGAACTTACCATTTGTTTACATTACAACAGTCGCTGTGGAAAACCGGTTAGGCTTGATAAACAATATTACAATATTGGATTACAATTTACATGATAAATGATTTAAAAAAAAACTCCTTGTAATAAATAATCTATAAAATATTTTTGATTTAGAAAAACGCAATTCATTAACTTTATGTAAATAAAAAAAAAAAATTGTTACTCGCCGCAGTTATTATAACATCAACGTTCAAAAATTGACAATTCTTATTATGTTAAAACATGGTAGATTATGATAAAAAACAATTAAACAAATGCTTTAACTAATGTATCTCTAGACATTGTACGGTGGATATAAAAGACGTTATAATTGGAATTAAAAATGTACAATAAAAATAAAGTCAAATACACAGGATTAAAAATATTTTGTTTTGTAATTTGTGTACCTAAATGTTTATACCATTTATATTCTCGCATTTTAGAACCTTGATGTTGCCCTGATAATTTTTTTAATTTGCATTTAATACTTATTATAAATAACGAACATATCCTACCACTCTTAAACATTTTGAAATAATAAACAAAAAATTACAAATAAAACTTTTACTGATTTAAGAAAAATGTATTTCCTCAAAACAGTGATTTGAAATTAGTAGGACTCTATTATAGTGTATGATAATACAGTCTTCTTGTTGAAAATCATCATTTTATATGTTACTCTTTGTCAATCTTGGCGTAATTAATAATTATACCTTTTGACACGTTTTTAAAATAGGTATTACACAAAGTGACAAAATATAGTGTGCCTAAATGCTTTATAAATCAAGCATTTTTACGTTTTAAAAGAAAAATTGTATTAAGTAGTTTTGTAATTGCTTAAGTTATAGACATGATAGATTTTAACAAATAAATCAATACATAAGGAATTAAATTATCAACAAATTTAAACGCCAAAACTAAGTTCTAACCAAAATGTTATAACTACGGCTGATATTAGTTGTACATTTCTGTTAGTTATACTATTAAATATTGCATATTTAATTAATA